TCCCTTTATAAAAAATGAAATTATAATTATGTAAGCATATATATATATATATATATTATTCAATAATGAAATATACCTTGTTCATCAACAGATACAATATCTCCTGAGCTAAAAAACCCGTCTTTGTCGAAAACAGCATCTGTAGCTTCTTTATTATTGAGATAACCCTATTTAAAAGTGTAAAATTTTTAGTACAAGTAACATAATTATATTAGTATAATGGTTATTATACTAGGACTCCGAAAAATCTAGAGGTAGGTAAGATTTTATCAAAAATCTTAAACATATTACTATAAATAGAAAAAATTCGTTTGTGAAATTTTGACAAAGTTTTGTTTTGGAAAAGCCTGCGATCTACATATAAAAGTTTCCTTTTTTGGATTTGTTTCACTTGTAGAAATAAGTATACGCTCTATATTTCGGGTCCTATTATACTACATACCTTCATAACATTTGGACCGTGAACCCACAATTCCCCAAGTTCGTTATATCCCAATTCTAAATGTAAATGTAAAATAATAAATTTTATTTAAATTTAAATCAAGAATAAATATATATATAGTTACCACGACCATCTACTGATAATATTTTAGCCTTCATATTTGGATAAAGAATCCCACTAGAACCTATTAAAAATATTTGTTATAGTAAACCATGAAATATGTAATAGTAAATACATCATTTAATAATATAATACCTGGAACTGCATTTTTCATTGTATCAATACAACGTAATACTGCAGCCATTTCAGTAGAACCTTTATGACATAAAAATAAGCACCATAATGAAAGGTAAGACAGTTCAGAAAAGAAGTTACGTTAGTTCAAACAACCTAATGATAAAATTCCTTACCATAAGCTTGAAGAACCGATATTTTAAACATTTCATAGAATTTTCTTTCTAATTTATAATCTAACCGAGCTGCCGCGCTTAAAATCTTATCCACACTTGACAAATCAAATTTTTGGGTCAATGGATCATTGACAAGTTCAAGTATAATTGACGGTGTAGCATAAATATGGGTAATTTTATATTTTTGAATTGATTCACAAAACGTTTCCAAATTGAAGCTTGAATGAATGATTGTAGTAGCACCCTATTTTATTAACGCATAACTCTTAGTTGACAATGTAATGACGAAACAGTATCAAATATTGAATTACATACATGAAATAAGGCCGAATGAAGAATAAAATCAAGCGCATAAGCGTGACAAAATTGCTATATTTTTAAAGCCATTATGAAAAATTACTCTAAATAATTATCTAAAACCTGAAAACATTTTAAGAGGAATCCTTTTATATGACTTACTGTGACACCCATAATTACACTATGTGGTCCAAGCTTATCATCTACTCTAGTTAATTGAGCTAAAGCAGCAGTTACGTTTGTGTGAGTGCGTTCGACACCTTTTGGCTTTCCGGTAGATCCAGAACTGTAAACTATATAAGCAGTCGTTGATTTTGCTTCTTCAGGAGTATAATTAATCGGCTCAATTTCACGATCACAAGTTAAAATAG